CTATTATTATTCTAAAGCTAAATAATTTGTGTGTTTGTTTTCTGTCAGACATAAATTCATGTCTGAGGGGCTGCAGCTCACTGTGGGATTCAGCACACAGATTCATGTAGAGAAGGCAGGGGGTCGTGGCTGCTAGGCGGTATGAGGATGGGGGGGGGGAATTTGTGAGGAAGTGAGGTGTCAGAGATTGGTTCCCTTAACCTTGCAGCAGCAGTCAGTCACCCAGAAAACAACTCTCCCTCTCCCTCCCTCCCTCCCTCATCTGTGATTTCTACGGGGGGTGAACTGTCTACCACCACCTCCTTCCATCTGCTGTGCTGATGTAAGGCTGAGCCTCGGGGATACACGGCCTATTGCCCACCGCTGATGCCCCAACCTTGTCATTGTGATGAGGGTTAAAGTGATATAGCAGTGTAATGATGCAAACAATCAAAAGAACAGATTTTCTTCTCCATTTCATTTCAAATGTAAAGAAAAGAACATTTAAGAATTTCTGCACTTTGTCATTTAACATTTTGTTTTCTGTTCATTTACAGATAATAAGACTCCTCTTACACTGTGCCAACCATTCTCCCAAGGTCTGCTTAACTTTATGGACTTCACTGCAAAGCAAAGAGGAGAAAACAAAGAAGGCACACAGGTATTGTATTCTTCTACTCCATGCTGTATAACAACTGTGATGCATTATCATGAGCAGCCAGTCTGAGCTGTAGGGGTCACTGTTGTTCCAGTTAAGACATTTCTGACAGCATCTCTGATTTGGATGATCTCATTTCTGATCCCTGAGGATTTAGCTTCATCACAACCCAGCAGGTGCCCTCTTTACTACCCTTCATCCCTCTTTTCTCCTGTCCTCCAGCATAAACACTTCTGCTTTTAAGAAATCCGCCTACAATGATGTCATTCTCAAAATACAACAGGCCACATTTCAGAGGATATGAATCACTTTTAGGGAGAGACATGTGCGTGGAGTTGACTAACATATTTCCATTTTTGGTCAAGAACATACAAACAGATTGTGATGTAGTTCTTTTTATATTGCATAATTCTACATCGACCTGATCATGACACTGCTAAACGCTGCAGTAATGTTGTTCGGATATGACCAGATAATTGTTTTACTGAGGTTTCATTGGATAACTGTAACATTAGGATGCAGTCACCTAATTGTTATGTTCAGAATTGGGGACCATATGGAGCTTGGCAGGTGAAACATAATTAGGCCATGCTAATGTAGGATAATTAAACATTGACCCTGACTAGCCTCTACTGTACAAACAGAGAGAGAGAGAGAGAGTGTGTGTGTGTGTGTGTGTGTGTGTGTGTGTGTGTGTGTGTGTGTGTGTGTGTGTGTGTGTGTGTGTGTGTGTGTGTGTGTGTCTATCACGGCCCATCCATTTAGGTTGTTAGTGCAAGCCGAGGTTGTAGTAAATGCATTACCTTCATTAGCTCACAGGGAGGTTGTATTTGAAAGAAGTGCTGTTAGTGTTATCTGATTGTGTTCACTAATATCCAGGCCAGAAATGTCACTTAATGACAAAAATTACTAATGTGTGAAAAGTAATGGCATTTAATGCCTTAATCAAGCTGTCATCTATTTATTCTTAGAGTGGCTAAGATTTAAAAAATAATCCTGGTATTAGGCATATTTTAGTGTATACATTTTGATCCCGTCCCTTATGGCTTCACGCATGGCTGTTTATGATGTTTGTTGTGGCACAGTTGTAAATATAGATATTTGCTGTGGTGTAAACAATTTCATCGATCATACCCTAGAATCGCTCAAAGAGATCATGCATGCTCCAAAAGATATCCGTAATGAAATCTAATCAACTTTGCCTTCTTTATGAAAATGCCAATATTTGCATAGACAGAGGAAGGGAGTTTCCATGTTTGGTGATGTTACAGGGTTGAAACATGCAACATTCAAGCAGAGACAAATGGCCTCTATTAGGAGCATTTAATCAGGGCTCTGAGTCTCCTGCCCCCCCTGGGGAAAGATTAATGGGTACAGGATATTTCATCAGGACCTTCCACATCACTGACCAGGATATGAGGCTGTAATTGTTTCTGTTTGTGCCGTTGTTCTGTATTACAGGCAGACAAAGAAGAGCCCGCAGGTTGGAGCACTTCTCGGAGGGGTTCACACGGTGCCATAAGAAGTGGAAGGACGCGATTGAGGAATGGAAAACGAGTGAAGAGAGCATGAACATTGGGTGTCAGTAGAGTCTATGAGAAGACTTGAATTTGACATCTTTCTTTTGCTACATTTTGTTCCCAAATCTGGATCTACGATTAACTAAAAAGATCTTACTTACGACATACGACATATTGACTTTTTCTCCTCATCAATCGACTTGTCCGATCGCTGTGGCAGCAACAGTAGACTCTCCATCCAAGTCATGTTGTCCTGCCACACCCTTTTTCTTTAACTGTAACTCTACATGTCAGAAACACTCACTCAATAATGAATTTCTCAGGAATTATTGATCAACATGAATAATTAAAGACTTTTTTCTAATTAAAAATCCAGTAAAAATGTCTAACATATTGTTTATTTGAAATTATTCTGGTCAACATTACAGAGATGCATGTTGGACCATTTGCAGCATGACTGCACTACATTTAAAACCCAGTGGTGGTGTCCTTGAAAATGATTCTTCCTTTCGGGAAAAAAAAAAGGATGTTTGCTTTGTTGCCATTGCATCTCATGAAAAATGGATGACCTCCCAGTGCTTTCTGCTGCCCATCGCTTCCCATATTTGCACAGAGCCCAGGGATTGCATTTGGGTTAGCATCTTCCTCCCTCTCTCTCTTGGTCTCTCCCTTACTTCCTCTGTGTCTTGTTCTGGGGGTGAATAACTTAACACATATTTCTGCCTGACACACTTCTGCTCTGGGTCTCCCCTGGGTGCCCAGTTCAGGAGCCCACACATGCTGTATTATTTAAAAGTGTGGTTGGATTTGGGTGTGTGGAGGTGAATCCTGCAGGCTTTTTTGGAAACTATACAATTTCAAATCTGAAAGGTCTTTCCTTATGACCTCACAGGTGAGGCAGCACCTCTGATGTGCCTTGATATTACTATCAGAAAAAAATGAAGCTTTACATGCAATACTCACAGCAACAAACATATCTAAACTGCATTATGATTTAGGACAGGAAACTTTTATTTCCACAACTTATCAAACACCAAAGAATAAATAGCTGCCAGAAACCCAAGTAGCATTAAACATAAGTAACAATACCTAATGACGCAAGAACAGCAAACCAGCTCTGAAATTCAAAAAATAATATACTTCCACACCCAAGACCGCAAAAAAACAAACAATAACTCAACCTAATCTGGGAGCTGATAACATCATGGATGCCAGAGCGCTGTGGTGCAGCAAAATGACACATAAATCATGTGCAGGGCAGAGGATGCAAAACGCTGCAGTTTATACACTGGATACAAATAGCCGTCTAATATCTGGAGAGCACTCTTATGAATACTTGTCTTTGTGTTTCATGAGGTGTTTCCCAGGAAGCGGCTGCACAATTTATATTCTCTGACACAAAAATGCCTAAACAATATCCTTAAAAAAAATGGCTCAGTTTGGGGTTTAAATTTTGCCATCTGTTATTTTTTTTTCTCATCATACAGACACTTTGCAACATTATGCATCTGTGGGCCATAAATCAAATGCGGTGATCTCGCTTTACTAAGGGTCTGACTATGTGGGTGCCTCCCCCACTGGAGGGCACTGTGGGTGGCTTTGAGGTTCGATGGGGGCTGAGGAAGTCTGAAAGACACCTTGGCTGGCTCACCAGATGGGCTCAGTGAAGCATGTCAGATGGCTGTGACAGCTACCTGCCCTTCCTTAAGGACTGTCACCATGTATAAACAAACCATTACTCTCATTTGTGAATGCATGGCCTCATGCGTGTACAAAATGTGGATGTGTGTACAAGGGCATGATAGCTTTCAAATCACTGAATGAATGTATTCAAAGAGCTGTATCTACAGAATCCTGGTCCAAAGAAAACATTTTTCTTTTCAGTAGTTTAAATGTAGCCAAATTAACCCTTAAACTCCAGGCAGACAAGAGCATCAGAGTCAATGTTAGTATAGATATATAGAAATGTATTTTATAAGTGGAAATTTGAAAAACTTTCATATCATGTGCAGTACGGCTTTCTATATCATCTGCTATTATTTTCATCTAATGTAGAGTACAACATTTCAATCCTGGGCTATATACTGTTTATTATTATGATTATGGGAATTACACTAGGTATATACTAGGTTTTCAATGCTTGATTATGATGTGCAATATTACTTCTCCATATTGAGCTTCATCATGTTCATTTAAAAATAAAATTTGCAATGTTCCTTCACATCACTTTTTTTCATTTTCATGTAGTGTTATCGGTGTGGGTCACTACCTGACGCTTGCATAAACGCAGCTGGGTCTGTGTCTAAACTGGCAATATGAAGCCATTACTATGCTCATCTTACTCTGTTACATATCAGACTTCTATTTATACTTCATACCTTACAATACTATTTATTTTTTAAGTATTCCCCTTCTAATGGATGTTATCAACTACTCTTTTTGGTACTGTTATGTTTTAGCATTGTTCAAGTTTTATCATATCTTAGTAATAAAAAAAAAAGATTCCCAATTAAGCAAAAAATATAAGGATGGTTTTTCTTTGCTAAAATAAATGATGCATAGAGCAGCAAAAGAAAGGCCAAGATAAGCACATTCTTTAGTTGAATCACCAGTACTGTCAGTATGACGTTGAATTAACAAATGGCAAAGCTGCAGCCACATTAGGGGGGTAACATGTCATAATTAACACTTACACTGTTGGAAATGGTAACCCCAGTGAAGAGGAGAACCTCCACAGTGTGGATGGAGAGCCCTGAAGGCCTCAGCCTGCTCATTAATTTGCAGCAGAGCGTGTCGTCGGATGCTGCGCCTCCGCTCAGAGATGCCTCCACTGCGCAGGCGCAGTTTCTCCAGCAGGCAGCGAGCAAGAGAGGGAAACGGAAAAATGGCCCTCGATAATTTAATTTTCGCCCAGTGCATCCTTTATTTTTTAGCCTTCGTATTCGGTTTCATCGCCGTGGTGCCTCTGTCTGAAAACACAGAAGATTTCGGGGGGAAATGTCTGCTGTTCACTCGGGGCATCTGGCAAAATGAGAACATCACCGTGTCGAAGCAGCGCTTCGTCGTTGAGGAGTGGGGACCCGAGTCCTCCTGCAGCTTCATCACTTTTGTCGGGATAGCGTCCCTCATCCTGTCCGCAGTGCAGGCGTGGAGGCTGCTCTTCTTCCTGTGCAAAGGACACGACGAGTGAGTGACCCTTTACATCTGCACCATTAAATACCAACACCTCAATAAGCTTAGTATGGTTGGCTAAACCACCCAGGCTTCACTGCACAATGTAGCCTATATGTGATTTATCTTTGCATCCCCCACACCCTTTAACGCGCTCTGTTCAGGCAGAAACATGAAGTGTACATGTTAGGTTATAGGCTATTGCCTTTGAAGTTGAATGACAATAATGAGTGCGCAAAAACAGCAATTCACCGTCGTCCTCCGTGATATAATGGAGGAAACACACTTACAACTATACTGGCTCACATACACTGTGTCCAACCTGTTTCATTTTTGAGTCTAGACAAGAGCAACATTTCAGGTTGTTACTTATTCTGTGTCTGTTGTACCTGCAGCTCCATCTTCAACGCTTTCCTCAACCTGCTGATCAGCTCCTTGGTGGTGTTCATAGTCTTCCTGTCCAGCACAATCGTCAGTGTGGGGTTCAACATGTGGTGCGACTCCGTCACTGAGGGTGGGAGCATGCCAAGCAGGTGAGAAAGCAGCACAGAAACGATTTTTTTTTTTTACATAAAACAATTTAGTGGTTCTCCTAAATAACAGTCTATCTCTGTTTAGCTGTGAGGACCTGCAGGACACTGATCTAGAACTGGGACTGAACAACTCAGCTTTCTATGACCAGTTCGCTATAGCACAGGTGAGACTCTTTTTTAATTTTTTTTGATATCATCCAGACTGTTTAACAGAATCCCGACTGTCTGCTGTATTCACATGAATGACCCTTCACCCTGCAGTTTGGCCTGTGGGCGGCCTGGCTCACCTGGCTCGGGATCGCAGTCATGGCCTTCTTGAAGGTCTACCACAACTACAGACAAGAGGACCTGCTGGACAGCCTGATCCATGAGAAGGAGCTGCTGCTAGGTCGCTCCTCACGTCGCAACTCTGACCTCAAGACTGGCCTGATTTAGAAACAAGCTGAAGCACAAACCCACACCCAATCACTCACACTCAACCGTCCAGTCCTCTGCCTGCCGTGAGAAACACCAGTGTTTGCCTGTGTAGACAATCAGAATTGGCTTTTGCTTCCATTGATCATGGATTGATCAAACAGAGGGTTTAGCTTTGTTCTCTAAAGGTAATTGATTTCCCCTTATAAAATATATATCTTAATGGATGTTAATCCTTGAAGAAACCTGCTTAATTGAGATTATTTATTCCTCTTCCAAGGCATCGCTCATCTCTGAAAGTGTTTTACCCATTTAATGGAAGTTTTTCTTGACACTTGAATTTCATTTGAATTACGCAGTATTAGTGGTTCAGACTGAATGGTCGATGGATCATGTTGTCTTTGTGATACTCCTGCATGGACCTAATGCATGGCAAATTAATAAGGTGGTGGTTCTTAGATGTAAAAGGTTGTCCTTTTTGTTTTCTACACCGATAAATGCATAGGCTCCTCTCTTGTAGGATGCACTCTGCATCTTGATGAAGTCATAATTCCTTGCATGCTGCAGCAAAGCAAACACACTCAAGCCTTTGCAGTGTATTCACTTTTATCAGCACTTACAAAAGGTATTTTATTATAAAGACAAATTGTAGTTGAGAGCATTTATGTATGAGGCAGCAAGTCCAAAAATGCTTTTAGCAATCTTTGTGAGCTTGAAGACAAATTCCTATTTGTGCCATATTGCTACTCAGGCTTCTCCTGCACACTTTATAGGCTACAAACCAATATACTGTGTTACTGTGAATAGATGCACAAATGTACCTGCATGCATCTCTCTTCTGTTCCACACGCACAACACACACTCACTCACTATCCAAGATAACAGGAAGAAAGCAAGCCATGTGCTTGACTTTGATAGGCAACGACAGTTTTATTCAAAACAACTGAAATCATAAAACGGTAAGAACTAAGAAAACCCTCCATAAAGGCACTTCTTTCAAAGTGACCATAAATGTTTGGACAGCAGTGAGATGCAGCTTCTAAGCTAAATGTGCATATACACTGGGCATTGTTTTATTGCTAATGACAATTTAGTTTGACAGTACAGAGTCGACTGTGATTCTTTCTTCGATACAGGCGCTGTCAGCCTCATATTGCTTTGACATTTAAATGTGAAAACCATTGAGTTCCCTGAAACCTGTTACATAAAGAACAATGTTTTACTGGAAACTATGCGATGTGTGTTATTGCTCAAAATGAGAGGTCTGTGAGATGTGCATCACCGTGCCCTTCGACTCCTAGAATCCATTTGAGTGGTAGTTTGCTGTTTTCAATGTATCTGCTTCACTTGATAAAGGGACTCATATATTAATATACCATTTTTGATTTCTGTTTGGCCTCATATAAGCAGTAATGAATGACTACAAGTGAAAGCTTAATGAGCATTTGACATCACAATAAAAACCTGAATATTAGTCTCTTAAAATAGAAATATAAGCAGTAAAAAAAAGTTCAAAAAAATCTAAAGAATCTTAAGTTGGATATTGGCTTAGATGCAGATACACAGTATATAAGAATAAATAACATTTAGGACAAAGGTTATTACGTAGGATTCAAGCAGGTAAAAAGAGAAACACTGTCAAAAGTATAAGCATTCATTCACTTTGAGTATATTCCCTTTGATGATAAATAGAAAGAGAGAATTAATTACATTGTGCTGTAGGTTTCCTCCTCGGGGGAGCCAGTAATCAGCTGAAGACAGTCTTAAAAGAAAGAGGCGTTTGTTTTTTTAAAAATCTGTGAGTCATTCGACCTGGTGTTGCTGTGAAGTGAAGCAGCCCTGTATTTCCTTTCTCAAGGATCATCAAACAGTTTGCACATTTCTGAGTCCAACCCTCCCCTGCTTGAATGTGTGCTCTGCCAATCAAAGCTGGTTCCAAACATCTCTACATTCATGTATGTGCAATTTCAAGGCTGAATATTGTGATAGTCCTTAATACATTAAGCAGTATGTACACATTCAGTTCTGTGTCATCTCTGATATACATAACTGGAACAAAATAAATATTTGCATTCCATGGAAACATTCATTCACATTCAACAGTTTGTGACATGAACTGAAAAATTAAATGTTTTGTGGTGCTCAAGTGACAATATATGTGAGCATCAACATGTGCAATTTCATTACAACTTAAATAAGAAGTGGCATTCCCACCACCTTAGTACATATATACATACAAACATGGAAGCTACATATTTCCAGGATTAAACATTTCTCCCTTTTTTATCTGTCAAAGTAGTTTAACACCACCGACAGAGAACAGAGCCGAGACAAATGGCTGAGGTGTTTGCAGGCCTGGGCTCTTTCAAAGATAGGAAAAAAGAGGGGGTTAAAAAAAAAAACCCACAGGAGGCTCTATGTCTCCCCCTGTGGTCAGTCTCAGTCACTGCATGGTAAGCCATATCCAGCAGCCCCACAGCAGCTGTTTCATGTGCAGCAGGTAGACGGCCAAAGCGGCCTCCAGCTCCTCGCACACACGCTGAGGGCGCCGCCGACCTGTGCAGTACATGGCCACGCCCAGGAATGACATCAGCAGGAAGAGGCAGGTGAAGAGAGCGAGGTGGGGGCGAGAGGGCGTCGTGTCATAGGCTGCAAACAAACATCCAGTTTTTACACATCTTTGATTTGTAAATGAGCATTTGCATTTGAATTTGCACACAGGCCTCTTTGTTTTTCATCTTAAACCAAGAGCTCAAAAGGATTATTTCAAGGAGGATTACATAAACAGTGTCAAGTCAAACAAGTCGTGATTCTGTGTTTTTAAAATATTGCTTAAACGTGACAGTGGGGTGACAGTGACAAAAAGATTGAAGTGGCCATTTTCTGACAACAAACAAACGTAGGTTGGGAAAATGAAGTTATGTTAATCAGTGTTTCTGCTGTGCTCCAGGTGTTTTAAATTGTACAAACAAGAAGAATTACAAAACTTTAGCATTTCACTCCTTCTATTGACCACTAACTGGAAAGACTATTTTAGTAAAAATAATCAGGGGTCATCTTTTAAATTAAAGAACATGCAATGGTTTAATGAATACCATCAGACAAAAGCTAAAATTAGCATTCAAACCCCTTCAAAGCTAAAATTCACATTTGAAATCTTAATGAGGCATTTGGTTTTATTACAGGTTGAACAAATATATTAGCTTCTATCAGACAACAGCTAACATTAGCATTCAACCACTTTATAGCTAACATTTGTCTGTTTGATAGTGTAATGTGTGAATTCCTTGATCACGTTGATGTTGCTAGCTAAGGTGAATGTTCAATATGAACTTGCTAAACGCTAAAGTTAGCTGCTATAGCTTAGCTGACGTACAAAATGAGTCACAAGTTAGGCTCCACAGAAAAGCTGGAGGGAAATCTATCCATATTTCAAAGATAAAGTATTTGATAACTCATTAGCTACCATGAGACGTCAACAAATGTCAGCATCCAACGACTTCAACCACTTTCTATTTAAAAGGCTAACTTAAAGAGATTAGGAAAGGTTACAATTACAAGCTAAAAGTCACACTAGCTAGCTACAGAAATATCAGCATGGAATTGTTTATACATTTACGTTAGCTGTTATAACTTGGCTGTCAGTACCTTATAAGAAATCAAATGTGATCTTTTACCTTGAAATAGGGCCCAATGTCCCTCTAGATTTTCACCAGCGTTACATTTTCTTTTCTGTTGGTGGTCAATCAAGGAGGAGATAATGTCCATTTGTCAGAATTTCAACATTTATAAGCAGACTGGAATAGAGCAGTGTAACTTTAAAATCGCCTTTTGGGTGTTGGCGAATTTTCATATTTTATTGATTACAAACCTTAATTCCTGTTTACAGGCTTTTGCCACACATAGTAACATCTAACAAACTCTGTGGTTTAGTGTGGCTATCACATTCTCGTGCACATTCAAATTGTGTTGTTTTTTTCAGACAGACTTACCAACTAAACAGTCACAGTAAGGAATGTCTGTGAAGCCAACAGAGAGGAGGACAGTCAGTCAGCCTCTGTGATGTACAGCAGCTACAAACCAGCTGCTGTGCCCTTATGGACCCCACTATCTCTCTGGAACAGACTCCATGGAGCCTCATTTGCATGCATAATTAATTACCCAGAGTAAATCACTTGCTCTGTTCGGAAGTCTCTTGGCAATACTTTTTCTTTTAATAGTACAGAACCCCCAGAGGACAATGGTTTACGATGTAATATCAGAATGTTTTAATGCATTTTGTTGTTTCTCTATACTGCCAAGTGCTAGGAATACACTGGTGTAACATATGGGTTAAAGGCCTAAACAAAAAGTAGGATGTCACACATTTTGAGAAAAATTGTAAACATAGCCAAATAACTCACATTCCTACTGAATGCATTTATTTGTTTTGCTTCAGTGCACAAAGAGCAATCAAGCTGCAGAAGATGAGTGTTATATAAAGTCGCTGGAGCAGTCTGGTCAAGGAGTTAAAGCAGCAGAGGACAGCATGTTCTCTCTAGTTCTACAAACAGATCTGACCACCAGGCTCAACTTGTTTTCTCACCATGCACTGTGGTCTCTGGCTCCCTGAATCGAACTCTCCGTTCGCCTTTCCGTCGATGGTTGGGCTCTGTGTCGGAACCGTAGTTTGGACTTGGCCTCTTTAGGATGGAGGTGGGGACTCTGCCATTAGTTATCTGCTAAAAATACAAGTATATGGATATACTTTTAACGTTTAAAGCTCAAACAAACAGCTGGAAAGCAAAGATCTTCTACAAATGAACTGCTGATATAACACTGCTTAAGATGCCTTCAGGTGTTTTCCACTCCACCTTGGGCTTCGGCGTGTCCTCCTGTTGGTGGTGGCTGTCCTTTCTGTGGCGGACCTCTGAGTGTTTCTCCCGGTGGGAATGAGGAAGACTGTTGACGGTGTCTCTGATGGACTCTGCAGCAGCGAAGCGTTTGGACAGTGCAGACACACACTGACCCAGGGAGTCTAGAGAGAGAACCATGATCATGCATAAGTAGTGATCGAGTGCTGCTTCACACCGGTCCCTGTAGTCTGCTCTGAAGACAGCCTATGAGGTGAGGCTAAACACACAAAGTGAAACATGCAAATCAAGGTAAACAGAAGACTTTTCTGTTAACTCTATCAGTGCCGGGGAAGAAAACAGCTTAATAGGTCGAAGTAACAAACACTGACCGAAGGATTGTTATTCACATCATACTCAGATATGTTTCAATGTTTCCACTCAAAACTTTGCAATTCCAGGACCCTCATTTATCAACTGTGCGTACACATGGATGTGTACATAATGAGTGTGTATAACATTCCCTCGCATAATGTGGTATTTATCAACTTAAATATAAATATATAACCATGTTTAACCACAGAATCTAGTAGTAGAACATCAAAGCACGTATTCATCAATCACAAAATCCATGCGTGTTCCGATAATATAATTAATAACACTCAATTGGGCTGCTGGATAGCCTAGCTATTATGTCCCACTCCATGTACAGAGGCTATCGTCCCCATCGCAGCGGCCGTAGTTAGGAATCCATCCATGGCCCTTGTCTGCATGTCATCCCCCACTCTCTCCTCCCAACAGTTCCTGTCTCTCGTCAGCTGTCCTTTCTAATATAAGCAACAATTACCCAAACTAAATCTTTAAAAAAAACGTCCTCAATTTGTAATTGTGTCTAGTTTGAAACAGACATGTTGCCTAATTGGTTTCAAAACTCTAAAAAGACAGCTTTGAAAGGCATTTGAAATGTTGTGCCATGTTTAATTTGGCCTTATTTGAACAGGGAGTGTGTTTTAACAGAGCGTGCTGATCTGTTTTGTCCAGCTTGTTCTGTTGGGAGAGTGTCACAGCTTGATTATTAATCCCAGAGAGAGCTGTGTTGCTGATAATGCTGAAAGTGGGGATGTCATAAGATGAAAATTACAAGGTATATGCGATATGATGCTTTTTTTCTTTTGTTGCACTGAGCTAAATATCCAACCTCTTCTTCTTGATTTCTAAAAGTGTTTTCTCCTTTGACCCAACAGAATTTACAGCATGTGGCACCTCTGCTGCGAGATTTTGTAGTTGTTAGTACCGGTAACTGACCAAGTGAACAAACAAATAATTGATTTGGTTCGCTTAGTGCGAGAGTTACAAAACATTTTTGACTGTTTTTGATCAAACTCTTCCTACTTCCATTTCAGTTGCTAACTCCATGTCTCTGCTCTCTTTGTCATTATTCCGGGGGAGGTAGAAATATTCTCTTGGTTTTTAAAGGGTGTGTCGTTACCAAACCTGGTTTATTGGAGGCGTTCTGGATGCAAATGTGTCCAAACATGCACAAGCCATTTTTTTTTTGTACTTAAGCACATTGTTTATCTATTCATCAGACAGAATATAATACATTTTCTAAACACAGTTGACGAATGAGGGCCCGGTGCCTAAAGAAAAAGCTCAACAAATATTTGGATATGATAATCCCATATCTGGTCCTTCCCTCATTTGTATTGAATGAAATAATCCTATCACTCCTTTGAAAACTGTACAAGCTTTATTTATCAACTCTGGCTGATGAATTCGTCTGTGAGCTGACTAACCAGTGAGTCAATCAATTGATAAAGATCAATCCATCACTCGTATAGGTCATTTAGAACTTGAATTGCTAGTATTGAGAACAACTGATTGAAAGAGAGAGAGAGACAGACATGCAGGCAGGCAGATATCAATACTGTGCCCTTTGTGCTATAAACAGCAAGATAACCGTGTTTATTGGACATACTTGTGGCGCTCTATTAAACTGGCAGATCTTTTCTTTTACAATGGTTGGTTAGCCTCTTTTTTTAGCAGACTTGTTTTTGTGGATGTTCGGTAAGTATGCTCCTTAAAGAAGATTGAGGTCAGTGGAATAAAACAATCATTTTTATCTTCCGTTATAAAGAGGCCAAGAATACATCCAGCCATTAAGACTACACTCTCTCTTTGAGGGATGTAAAAATGTAAAAAATATATATAAAGAAATACACATAAATAGATCCTATTCTTCTTTTCTATTGAATGAAAAAATAATGGAACAAGCATGTGCAGAGACAGTTTCTTATATTTTAGGTAGAGGTTAATACAAAGAGGGGCTTTGAATTATTTTGTTTCATTGAGGAATGTGTTTTAAATTTTTTTTAAAGAGCTGAGAAGATCTTTGAGATTTTACTTTATCCCCATATATTTTACATGTAAGAAAATGAAAGTAATCCTTATTATTTTTTAAATAATCGTTCATTTTGTACACAGTTAATGTTTATATTATTGAATAGGATGATCACATCTAAAACCTGAGTTATTCTTAGATTTATACAAATTAAGAATTAAAGAATTAAAAAAAATAATAATTTATAGGAAATTCCTCAGTAGTTGCTCACAGTGTCCACATATCCTGCTTCACAACAGACGACGGATCAGATTCTCCAGTTCTACCTACGAATACACGTGAGGGGTTTGTTGGTTGACAGAGGGGGACTGACCCAGTTCACAGTGTTCAGTATCTAAGGGACACAAGCTGTAAACATTCAAACATGCCTCTGTTGATGAGAAAGAGGATTTCTCTGTGTACAATACAACACAGGGTTACACAAAGTGCACAGAGGCCCGTGTGTTTTCTGATCCACAAAACAAATCTACAACCGCCCTCTGACCCTGCACTGTTTAGACCATTCTACCAAACACTGAAGACATTCTGAGGTAACAACAGGGAATGCTGTAAATCTTTGTGCTTATACGCTGTACACTCCTGTCTCTATGTGCTGCACCACTGCCTCTGTGAGCTGACTCAACAGCAGAGCTGCTCTCTACATTTTGCTTTGAACACCACAGCAGTCTTTGCAAAAATGCAGACTTCAGAATCAGGCAGAGTGTTGTTCCCTCATAATGCAAGCCAAGCATACAAACTGTACTACACAAGCGTGCCCTCAAACTGTCACAAGGATACTTCTCTCTCTAGCTCTGTTTTAAAAAACTCTTGTGTCCAACAGACGGCAAGTGTTTATTCATTTAACATCTTCATTGGGTGACAAAGCTGAGTGAACTTCTTTAAACCACATCTGTGAGCTCTTTAAAGAAGAAAGCTACAACAGTAGACTGAATGCTCATAGTCTTAAAATGATATCATATTGTAGTGTAGATGAAAAAATAGACCTGAAATGATACATTTCATTTGGATGGAATGTTGTGGGAACTTTGGGTTGGTTGGAAGATAAACTGTAAATATTTGAATTTTCATGGCAGTCGTATTATTCTTGGTTTTTAAATACAGATTTATTTTACTCAGCTTCATGTCATTGGATGTTAAACATCTTGAATATTTGAGTAAATTAAAAAACTACTATGACAGAGGTGTGCGCCACATATTGTTCAACTGTATATTAATGTGGATAACATTAGTCCCTGTGTCGTTTGATCTTTCAGGATTCCAGCTGAGCGGTTACCTGAATATTCAGTCTTGCCGATCTCAGCATAGACTGTGGCCATAAGCTCCAGGCTCCTGGCTGTAATGGGGTGGTCATTCCCAAAGGCCCTCTGGTGGATTTTTGTAGCCTGAAAGATTAATAAACAGGCAGAAGGGGGTATGAAGTTGACTCCAGAGTGCCATAAAATGTTTAATTTGTTCATAAATCTAGAGTGGAAGCAGAGAATGATAACATGTACGTACCTTGCCGCTGTATTCCAGAGCAAGATGAGGTCTAAGAGAAAAAGAAAACAATGTCAAATGACAACACTGCTCTGCTTTCATTCATCAAACACTTCGATCCTGCTGGAAACAAAAGCACGGTCTCTTCAAAATGCATGACTATCTGAAAAAATCTCTCAATGCATTCTTCCATTCAAACGCAAAGATGTTTCTGCCGACAACAAACAACGCTTGATCTCAATTGAATGTTTTGACCCAATGCTTCACTGTCAGGCGAGCGTATCCGTTTCAGTGTTTGGAACACAGCAGCATGAGAATTTTAAACATGCACATGCTGTGATTAGACACTGGAGGAAGTGGAAACCTTCTTTTCCTGCCAGCACTCACGGCCCCTTTCTATTCCACAGGGGTGAGTTACAGCGGGTATGGTGCTCTCAGGTTGGTTTACTGACTTGTGCCCTTTTCTGCAGCTCTTCTGTTTGGTGCTAAGCTAGGTGAACGTGATGAGGTATATCAGGGATCTGCCAGCTGTTCCACTCATATCTGCCCCGGAAAGTCAAGCCAAGGGCGGTCGTCACCCTCGCACCCTCACGTGTGTCTATAGATGTAGAGCGAGCTCTGTTTACGGCGACAGATGTTCAAAAGCCACACTTCAATTAGTAATGGACAGGTGTCAGTTTGCGCTGCTTTAAGGGGACATCTGATAGGCAAAGACAGAAAAGTCCTTCACCTACCCAAAGTACTTCCTATGACGTCACTTAAGAAGCAGGAAGTATTACAACTTTCTGTCATTAAGGAAGGAAAACAGAGCTAAGGTTAATGGTGGAAGTCTTTAACAACAGATCAAAGAGCAGAGTCCTATTCGTGTGTAAGCCACAAACACAGAGGTCCAGTCACGCACCATCAGAAACATCTTATCTAAACTGAACTGTAGTCTCTGCGCATTAATGAAGCACCTCAGCCAAACAAACCTTCTGCCCCCCTGTCACCCTCCCTGGCAATCAGGTTAAATGGCCCAATCCCAACAATGACAACAGAGGCACAGAAAATGGGTGCATGCTGTGGCCTAACAAAGTGCCCCTGCAACAGGAGACAGCAGCTCCAGTTAAAGTGTTCCTCCTGTGACATTCAAGGAGAGTGCAGTATCTCTTTTCTCCACATCTTACAAGGAAATTCAACGCTAGCTAAAAACACACACAGAGTTGGAGTTTATTTAGATCAGAACATGTCAACTCCACACAGGTATTAACGAGCATGTGGATTTGATCAGGACAGAATATTTATAATATGACCTATTTCCATAACATTTATGAATCAAATTCAGTATTTGTTTGGTTTTGAAAGAAAATTCTAATTTTTCACATCTAGTGAAAAAACTTATTAAATTATTTCATATAACACATGACTATGAAAGTGTGATAAACTCCAGAGAGAAGGGTTTTCAAATTTCAAACATTTTTACAGGTTATAAGAAATGTTTAATTTTAGACATTTGGATGAAACTATTCATCATAATTAAAACAGTTTCATGTTAGAAACTAAGCTTTATAAACAAATGAGCCTCTTATTGCTTTAAGCTCCTGCTTCTGTAATAAAACAAAAAAAAAGAAACAATTTGTTTTTAGTTTGTAACAACTGAATCAGCTCCATTTTCACTTCAGTTCAAGTGTTGAAGAGTCAAAAACAACATACTTATATACTGTATAGCTATATAACCAAAGAGTATTTTAACTGTTAATGAAACAGGTGAATTACAGCACTAAAAGTGACGTTATGAAACTGTAAATCTAGTCCTGATGAGTCCTCTGAGCCCTTTCATTCATAGAACATGTTACACCCCATTAATCACACAACCACAGAATCGAAAACAGCACACAGTTTTACCTACTGTTTGCTCATGATGCACAGCTGGGCCAGCCGCTCGAGGTGCTGCGCCTGTGAGGCCTGCTCTGAAAGCTCCTCTGGGGTAGTCCATCCTGCGGAGCCCAGCGTGGCCTCCTCCTGAGGCCCTGTTACACAAACACAGGGCATTGAATCACAGTCAGCGATCAATCTTTACTCCTACTTGTCTATTTGTCTCCCTCTGCTCACTGTCCTTGGCTATCTTAGGAGTTTAAAAAAAAAAGCCCTAAATTTATGTGTTTCTGGCCATCAGCCTGACCAGCCCTGCTGCACTTTAAGCCCGATCAGAAGAGCGGAGCCAACTGAGGACTGGAGACACGACAGCAGAGATAAGGCAGGAGAGAGAGGACAGAGTCAAACAACACTCACCACGCCCACTGGAACAGTGAGGCACACACGCTGACAAACATACAGTGTGTACTGTACTGTTCACACACACACAGACGCACAAACATGACACGTACAAGAGTGGAGGGGAAATTAGATTATCTTGTAATCTTTACAACAGGCAATGCTTATAAATCATTGCAACAGGTGTTTCCATTACAGAAAACAAAATGACAGTCATGCTTGTGTCTGTGGGAGAATACAGAGAAGGGAAGATTGGAAAAAGAAGCTTGGGAGAGAAGTAAGCTGCTACTTTGTGCCAGCTTTGCCTCTTGAGAAGCCCAGCATTCAATCAGCCTGAGTGCTGAATCAGGGGCTTCAGTATTCTGTAGCTACACAAAGCTCCTAATGAGCCAAGTGTGGCCATTTGTCTTCCACTTGGTCTGTCCCCCGTCTCCTGCACTGTGCCCAGCATGCCACACTGCGCTGCTGCCTCAGCAGCAGACAGAGAGGAAGAAGCAGACGTCTGGAGCGGCAGCAGATGATGAATGAACCGCCTCACTGTGAACGTTCGCTTAAAGCTCCACCAGGTTTATCCAACACAAATATGAAATATGACTTCATTCCATACAGGCTTCATGAGTAAAAAGACTGTTTTAAGGTTGTAACAGAAACATATTGTGAGCTAACCTACACACTATATGCAGCTTATTATGTAGATTCAGGTCACACTCAAGCCAATTTGGAGAGCTGCCTACTACAAACACCATCTGCCAAACACTGAACAGCTTTAGTGTATCTGGTGTTTTATTAACAGCCTCCAAATTAAACAACAAATTCAATTAACCTTCCCTTTCCTCCCATCCACCAATGGGATGAGTATTTGCTAATAATACCCAACTTGTTCCTGTACATTTTTCCTGAAGGTTTTTTTTAAAGAGCTAGTTGTTGAATTCCAGAAAAAAAGTCCCTGAAGGAAATGTGTTTTTGAGTCATATCCACAGGATTTTACCTGCTCACAAATTCAACAGTTTACAACTTCTGATTTGACTAAAAGGCTGTATGTTACACTAGCATAACAACAAGACAATTACAAGGGCATCTTTAAAAAACATCAAAGTCAACATCTTAACCAAGGCTTCATACTTTAAAAACAGTACATGTTATTATGAGCGCTTACAGTATCTTTCCTAGTATCAGGAGTACTTGCCTGAGCTCCCCTGAAGAGCGGTGAGCTCGATCAGTGCCACCTCGTAGAACATTTTCTCAGCCTGGATGAACTGGAGAGCCTTCCCATCTGTTTATATGGGTGAAGGATCAGTCTCAGGTTTCAGCAGGATTAGTCAGTTGTTGAAGTTATAAACAGTCTCTCTGCGCAGCTCTTTTTTTTATTTTTTTATCATTCACTTCTCCTGGCATGACCCATTCAGGCAAACAGAACCAGTATAATCCAAAGCAAAGTGCTGATCTTGAGGACTGGATTCAAAAGGGTACAGATTTATGTTCTGAGAAGTTTTGTTACTTCTAGTTGTATGATGTTGAGTATTAAACCTCACTGTATTTTTGAATGCAGGGTTTGTTTTTCAGTGTTGTACAGAGATCTTTTGAAGAGTTTGAATGGCAGCTTTGATTTCAGGACGAGTCTATAAAAAGCAAACTAAAAATAGATCCTTTTCACTTTGTCAAAAGCATTCGGCCAGCTAAGAGTCTGTCCTACTGTTAAATGACACCTTTGATGCTTGTCAGGTGAATTTAAAGACCAATGAGATGGAGAATGCTTAAAATAAACACAGCCCCGCTGCTCTGACCGTCCCACTTAACATCAGGTCTCTCATGTGGAAAAACACATGAAGTCCAATCTATCTTCCAAATTTGCTCGAATATATTCTTTATAAAAATGTATATTATAAGTGGACAGGTGGACATTTGGCTCCCACTTTCAAAAAAAACTATAAAGCTTTGATCTTAAAGACAGCTGGCTTCCTTTATGTTTATGACCAGGAGGATAATAAGGCACAATGGCGTCATAATCAAACAGAGAGGACAATTTTTAAAACCAAAGATGAAGAATTCAATGTTTCCATCTGATGATTACTAAAACATACCAACTTTAGGCATGGTGAGGAGCTATAGGTGGGTGTACATCTGAATAGTTTAAAGTACAACACGGTAAACGATGACATGACAACATGTAAGGAAGGAGAGACTGAGTTGAATCATCTGGGAGGGTGGATTATTAAGGGAACAGCCATCACCAAAGGTCACAGCACAACGTCTCCCGGCTATTTTTAGCCTGGCTGGACAACAACAATGCCACAACAGGAACCTCACACTATTCTCTCCGAGGAAAGTGTAGCCATCTACACACAAACACACACACATGAACAGACACACAGACTCAGACAAACTGGTAATTGGACTGCACTCCAAAGCACGACAAGAACTTGCATTAACAGTCGCGCCATCAAAGGGAAACCAGATCACACGTGCCACATAACTCTGCTTCTAAAATAACTTCAGGAAGATTTCTTCTATAATCAGAGGTCATGTGATCACTGGCTAATTCTGACAGTACTATATTGATTAGCATTTGCTTTAAAGCTCCCGCCGGCTCTTTCTGTACCGTATATTGACTCTAAAATGTAAGTACAGGATCTGCCCAGATCTTAATCTGACATTCCTTTATTTGAGTTCAAAGTCAAAATGTCTGTGTCCACATACTTTCCAAGAGCAACAAATCAGTAAACTCTCAGCAGCCAAAAGAGCTTTTGGCTGTGAACCAGAGGTCACTTGTAGATACTGCCAGCTCTGATAACAATACATCAAGCCTTAATTGGTCATGGCACTGCCACTATCACTATCAACTGCATCAATTACAGTATATTTCCTGGAGTGAAGCCAGGGCAGCAGCACAAAATCAAGACACTTTCAACATGTTCATTCAGCTGGGTTTCCTACAGATATTGAGGGGTTTGTCGACTCTGAGGAATACAAACTCTTCTGGAGTAAAAGAAATATATTGTAAAACTCAGAGGTTCCCACATCCTCTCCCAGTTTGAGCACACTGACCCTTCACCCCCCTTCCTGGAGGATGTCAAAGAGCAGAAAAATAACATCTTTAGCTTTGCAGTGCTCTTGAGAACTACTTAAATACAATGACCAATGTAAGCAACTCTGGGATTTCATGGGAACAAATTCATATAATTCATATTATTATCAAAGCAAATAGTTTCAGCTTTTACTGGGCCTGCATGGAACGAGGAAAACTTCAGATGTGCAATAACATTGTTCAATACTGCAATAACGATATGAAGTGCAATAAATCAATGAGTGCATATTAACTATGACTCGATGCTTTTATGGGAACCTGATGTTCTTCCTGTTTTAACATGATTCCTGTGTTTGCAATATGTCCTCCTGAATCCAGAATAAATGCAAAAATAATTTAATCTGGGCAAAAACTGGTGCAAATATATGTCAGGGTAGCTGATTGCTAACATTAGCTTCATGTGAGTGTATCAAAATGGTCTGAAAGCATAGACATTATACCCTGGCATCTGTCTACATGGGTATAATGTAAACATGGTGAGTGAGCAAATATGGCTTGTTTATATAAAATAATTTATCTTATTTATTGTGATTAATTTAGACTATTGTGATGTGTTCATTGGGAATGCTCATACTGTCATCATGCTCAAATTGCAATTATTACACAGCCCTAATTCTTACATTATGTCATTGTTAAAGTCATAACAGAGATGAATATTTTGACTGGTTCCTTTCTGGAAGACAAAATAAAGTGGCTGTCATGGAAGATGACCCTACTGCGTCTATTTACAAACTGAAGATCAGCAAATGTACCTTTTTTTTTTTTTGCCAGATAGGAGCAGAGCGTTGCTGAAGTGGAGAACCTGAGCTTGCAACTCCAGTGTTGGAGTGTCTCAGTGACAAGACGAGGAGCCACAGAGGTAATATATCCTGAAATGCAACACCTCTCTATTATCTCTGTGTCCTATGGTGATATATTTTAAAGAAGTGGTGAAGTGTCGATTAACAGTTTAGTCGGTGCAGATACAGGTTAATTAGTGCTCTTCCACTCTGTTGTGCAGAGATAAGAGCCTACAAATCCTCTTAAGAGACTGACACGCAGCCTGAGCTTCACACAATGCATGATGGGTTCAGGGACAGGTATGTTATTATGAACTCACCAAAAGACATCCCCTTCTACAGTGCTTTCTATAATGGGTCTACAGTCTCCATTGTGCTGGAAATTGCATCGCCTTCCACCCGATCTTTAAGATGTTCACCTCACAGAAATAGAATGCGAGCTTATTTCTCAACCTGCTTGTTTACACTCAGTTGGATGCTGAAAAGTGTCAGGAGGAGAGCGTGACTTTTCTCCAGATTTGGTAAAGGATACAATTCTTTTCAGTGATGAAGAGCTCTGCGATCTGTAAAGTGAAGAAAAACAACCAAGACACATGGTCAAGTGTTAAATTATTCATAACCATCATGGTTCCCGGCTGTGTGTATGCATGATGTCATGCGCTGTCAAAACAAGAAACTTCTGCTCTGCAGTCTCGCAGCACCATTAGGCCTGGTCAGCATCATACCATGAGTTCCAAAGTTTGGAGTAAGAGCTATGTTTTGACATTACTAATTACTAAACAGAATCAAACTGAAGCCTTGCCTTTGTAGCAGAGCCTTATAAACTACCCTAGTGTAATCTGCTAAATCTCTGGTGGGGCTACAAAGTGTCATAACATAATACCTGTGACCTCAAAAAAAGCAAAACATAGTCCACACACAATGGGAGGGATGTAAATCACATCCTCCAGTATTTTTAGCTATATGATCGGTCTATTAACACTGTTAGTGTACAACAGTGTTGCTTCCAATGTCTCATTTAGCAGCGTGCCCATGTGTTAGCCCTGCTGAAATGGTCTTACAGTGTCAACACAGTGAAAACATGATGGAGTGTGCTCTTAGAGCTGACATTGGTGTTGCTGATATCAAGGTTGAACTAGTCCTGTGTGCCGTTCTAACATTTCATTTATGATCCTCTAAAAAGAAGTGGTGTAAATGTGTATATAAAGCTGTGTAAATACACATTAAAGCAGATTTGTGGACGCATGTGTGTGTGTGTAAGACAAAGAAAAGGAGAGAGAAACACGTTCTGAGAGACTGTGTGTCTGTTTCTGGCATCCGGCTCACCTGGTGGAGACAGTTGGGCAGAGAGTTGAAGCTCTGCACATGGGTTAGTCCCAACAGGCAGCTGAGGAAGCAGTGGAGGGCGGCCTGGTACTCCCCCTGCTGCTGGAGCTGCTGTCCCAGCTCAAACAGGCCCTCCCTCCCTCCGTTCAGCATCCCCAGTCCCAGTCCGAGCCAGTACTGCCTCCCATCAGAGCTCCACTGGCTGAGGACGGACACTCCTCTCCTCGCCACTCCGCTGAAGCACCACAGGTAGAAAAAGGAAGCAGGCACACACAGAGGGAAAAAGATGTAAAGATAAAACGCCGCTGCTCACATGAACACTGCAGATGAAAGTGCCGGAGGGAGGAGCGAGCTGGAGCTGCTTCCTCTCAGTCTCGTCTGGGAACAGTAAGTCAAGGACAGGTGGTAAAGGAGCAGGCTGAGGGAGCTCCGGCAGCTCACACAGAAAAGATCCATTCCCCCCTCCCTCCTCCTAGGCTGCACCAGGAAAGGAGGACAGAGGAAGTAGGAGAGTACTTGCTGTTTGAGTGGCAGAGCAGTCGACCAATCCCTGCTCTGCACATGTAGAGAAGCTCCGCCAGACTGTGTGTTTAGCACACTGGGTCCCTCTCGAATCCTTAAAATTAGAGAATGTAATGTTTTAGGTCTTCATTGAGTAAACCCATATATAGGATGCACATGTATTATGTCATTTACTATGAGATCTACATTTCATTCAGTATTTTTCCACATTACTGTCTGCACTAGCACATTCAAAGAGCTGTGCATTATGTATTTCTTAAGAGAGTGAGATTCATTTTAGTTTTACTGCCCTACTTATGATTGAAATGAATTATGGATTAGAGTTATGCACAACAAACACATTAAAATAAATACTGTGCGAGCATTTTTTAACAATACCGAAGAAATAACAAGCGTGTGTAAATTTTTTAAAGTGAAACAGATAGCGGGTGCAAACACAGGGTCATTATGAAGAGCCTCTTTACTGTATGAAAGAGAGGAAGCACTCCTGCCTATGCAAACAAGGATAACAAATATTTATTCACAAGGAATGCCTCCTCTGGATGTTTGCTCACTTCCCTTTACACCCGGCTAATCAACATCAATGTGTGGTCGATCTGCGCTCGGAGGGAGAGAGAGGGAGAAGAAGAAGAAGAGACAGGACCTCAGCATTCGATCCAAAGATGATCAAGAGGATCCTGAATGGTCCTGACTTTTGAAGCGGCACTCTTCTCCTCGCTCCTTTTGGACACAAGACAAGCGTGGTAGCTGGAGGGTATGAATGGGGTAACACAAAGCTAATGGGCAGAGTCAGTGTCGCTAAGTTTCTCATGCACCCAGCTGAGCAAGATGGAATTTAAATGGTTGTGAATGCAAGTGGGCACAAGATCAAAAAGCATTAAACTTGCACGAGCAGGTTACTGTAAACTCAGGGAACTATGAGCAGCCCTCTTTTTGGACTAAGAGTATAAGGAGCAGACATGGAACTTGATTATGCTGATATGAGGGCTGTTTTCACCTCCACAGATACACAGAAAGGTAACTGTGCTCACTTTACCATGGTGTCAAGACTGTTGAGTAAGGATGCAGTGAGAACGCTGGCAAAGCTGCTGATGTGATTGAGCTGGAGAGGGCCACAGGCTTGACTCTCAGTGTTGCAGTCCTAATTGAAAAAGAGTGGGATCCTCGTCTCCTCATTACAGGCCAGTCGAGCTGAACAGACACACATCAGCTGAGAGGAGGCGGCTTGTTGTCTCCATGTTAACAACATTTGACAACTACCATGCAACATGAATCCCACCCAAACAGAAGCGTAACCATTTCAATATGTGTTTATCACACGAGGAGGCAAAATGTGGCAGTGAAGCGATATGCATTTAAGGAATCATCATGATGGTTATGTTAAGGAGGTCATAGAAAAATATCTGTCACTATGAGTCATTTGCAAACAGCTATTTTCAGCTCATTCTATACTGTCTTTTAATACTGTTATGAAAATCCTAAAAATATGCACTGAATGTAAAACCCCAAGGTGGAAGGACTTCATATAACTCCAACAATCGTTCATATTCCCTTCTCCCTCATGAACAGAACATTACAGGTTCATTATATAGTTACATCTTTAAAAAAAAAAGCAGGATGGGCATGTGTAAGAAAACATGTATAAAATGTTGACAGTGAAAGCGAAGTTCTCATTGGTATGTAAATGTTAAATGGAGGTGAGCTTGTATAATGCTTTTCTAGTCTGCTGACTACACAAAGTGCTTTTACACCGCAGGTTACACCTACCCACTCACACACTGATGGCAGAGGCTGCTATGTAAAGTGAACATCAGAAGTAACTAATCCCATTCATACACCTTCCCGACCAAGCAGCAGGAGCAACTTGGTGTTAAGTGTCTTGCCCAAGGACACATCGGACATGTTGCTGCAGGAGCTGGGGATTGAACCCCCCGACCTTCCGGTTGAAACAACTGATTCTACCGACTGAGCCACAGCCACCCCCCTTTTTTTCTTCATTTTTAGACAGAAAACCTGCAGAAAAAAATACTCAAATTTCATAAAGTCCAAGTGATAGCCACTGGGCACAAATGAAATTGGACAATGAAATGTACAATTCTTTACAGGTTAAATGTAGTCCATCTATTCTGACAAGCAAGAAGTCTGCACTGGGTAGTTTTCCTTTTAAGCTGACACATGTTGAAGAGTACAAACAGCTGAAACAGTGTACGCACAGTGTATGTCAATCGTGTACTTGTAGGTGTGGTGAATAATCACATGTATGTGTATACTGTATGTGTGTAAAAGGATTATTCTAGATTTTCAGTGACTTTACTGACTCCAAGATTTCTTTCAGGACTGGGAGGTGACACACTGAGGCATGCATATAAAATACAGGAAAAATACATGATGTTAAAATATTCATGGTGCATATTTTACAATGTTGCCTTTTCTAAATAAAAATAAAGTTAAAAAGTTAAAAACTGTTTCATGCTGCTGGAATACATGAGCTGGCATAGTGACACAGACATTGACTGAACTTCACTATTCTACAGTACAAGAATGGAAATCTACCTGTAATTGGAATATTGATCGTCTGTCTGGCAGAGTTGGTGGACAAATACATCAGGTTGATCAGTAAACACTCTCAGCAGGACGTGTTCAGCTGGAAGCAGATACAGCAGACTAATGTGAATGGATGGAGAGCAGAACCTGCGACAGCATGCCGAGCAGGAGAAAGCAGTGAACAGTACCCACAGATATAAATCTAACACCAGCAGGTCAACCAGTGCAGTGAACCTCAGGATATTCAATTAGTGCTAATGCTTTGTGTAATCTATATTTACACTGTTCTACCAGGTGTACTTCCTGATCTGGGGAAAATTTCAGAGTAAGTAAAAATCTAACAAAGAATCAAATTAATCAGTAGGATTTGATCAAACGTGGCTTTTCGTTTCATCCTGAAAATCTTGGGAGCTCCAGCTTTTGCAGAGTCTGTCAATCTGGATGTTTACTATAAGCTCATAAATCTTATAACTTTTCAAAAAGCATTTGTTAGAACAACACATTTTGCATTGTCCAGCGGGTTGCAGGGCTTGTGTCCTCGTGTCATTTCATTGCGCATGGCCCTACATCAGCATATACTATTTATATTCCCTGCATTGTGCACATACAGCTACTCTTTGCAATTTCGCTGTAGCCTAGAGGCCTCTGCGATGGAATTTTTTATTTAGTGTGAGTGACAGCAGCTACGTCTCTAGCTACATTTTGCCGGCTCCTATGATGCAAGGAGGAGCTAATCTTGAGATCTTTTTGTAAGAAGGCGACATCGAGATCCTGCAATACTTGATCTAGAGATGGGAAAGTTGCAAAAAGCACCATATGCACTGATACAGACGTAACATAAACATGTTGTGTGCCTGCACTCTGGTACCGGAGTCTATGGTCCTGGCCCACTGTAAAAAAACAAAACAAAAAATAAACTCCACTCTTTGCCCGTGCAGCTGCATCTCTCTAAGATTCAGGCTCTGGCAGTTTAATGGTTTTGGACCTGAAACCCCCAGCTACTGAGCAGCACTTTATGACCTCCATGTAATCAGCAGTAAATGCTGCCACCATCTGTCTCTTTTTACTCAATTATCTGACCCAGTGACTTTTACTGACAAACACTGTCCAGGTAAACACGGTAACGCAAACCCTCTGGCTAGGATTATGACACATCCATACATCATCCTACAGTCTTTATGATTTCTTTTGGTCAGTTCTCATTTCTGAACTGCTTCCATTTTTTACTGCCTCCCTGCAGTTCTGAGCAGAAAACTACAGTATGAATAAACACAGCTGCTGTACAATTACAGCTGTGGGGCTGTAACATGAATTACTTGAATCCTCGTTACTGTTTTATTGTGAAAGCATCACTTACAGTATATAGTGCACCCTCAGCATGACTAACACTGGGAGGCTAGAGCTTTATTAAAACGTCCTTAATGAAAAGCCACTCAGCTGGGTTTAAAATGATTCATCACAGTATGTTAGAATCAATTCATTAAGAACTGTTGATTAAAGGAAAAGCATACAGCACCTCTGCTGTGCTCGTTATCTTTAGCTCCACTCGTGTGCCCCCTAGTGGACAATATGTAGATGGCACACATCCTGAACTACTTCAGACACTGCAAAAAAAAAGAAAGAAGAACAATTTTAATAAAAAAAGTGGACAAATAAAAGCTTGGCAGGAAAGACTGAAGCAATGTGTAATTATGTATTTAGAGAAAGGCCCTGGTGTAATAGGATTTTTGTGACATGGAAAACTACAACTAAAATTTTCTCGTAAAAAAGCTTAGACAGAGGACCAATAGAGAAGTCTAGGTGTGTCTGTGTGTGTGTGTGTGTGTGTGTGTGTGTGTGTGTGTGTGTACATTATAAAGTATGATTAATATTGAGATAGATCAATTACCTACTGGGAACAGGGTTATGCATTCTTTCACATATTTTCTACTGAGAGCTTTTTAATTTGGAAGAAACAATTAACCAAGACGTTTATAGTTTATGTGTAATAGAAGTGAAAGGAAAGGAATGCATGTTTATTCCATTATAATTGAAATATTTTAATATTATTCTGTCAATGAAGGAGTTTCTTGAAGACATTAATCAAAAAAAGGTATTGGCCTGTGAGCCCCCCAGTGGTTATCCTGTGTGGTCCTCTTGCTGTTAAAGTAAAAAGCCATTCCTTAATGAATGTAACAACACAAAAATGATTACTAATTGGTCAATGGCAATGATGACCATTCAAATATTAATCTTTTTTATATGTAAATGTTGACTTCAGGTAAATTAAAGTACACCTAACTTCAGTCAGACATGAGCACTTCTCATTGGATATGCAAGTCACTAAACCTGTGTGGGCAGGACATGACGGAAGAAGGAAATTCTATGTTTTGTATGCAACAA